CGGCGGCGGCGGCGGCGGGGGAGGCCGGGCCCGGACGGGCGCACGTGGGGCTTGCTGTGCTGCCAGGGGTAGCAGCTGCGGCTGGGAGAATCCCTCTGCAGGCCGCCCGGGAGAGCCAGCGAGGGGGGACACGCGCATGCAGCAAACTAAGGGCAGAGGATTCCCTGGTGCTGCGGGAGGCCACGGGATAAAGATGAGCTCCGAGGGGGCAGGGAGCTGCCCACACCCGCTGGCAGCCCCGCGAGCCGCTAAGAGCAGGGCCGGCGCTCCTCTGCCCCAAGGTGTTTCCGTGGTTAAACGGGCGAGGGCGGGGGAGGGGGGGCGTTGCACCTACACTGGGGAATCCGGAAAACTCTCTCTAGGGAGGCCGCGGTCCCGGTTCGGCTGCAGCCAGACCCACTGGTACTTGGCTGCAAAAGCAGCCACATGCCACCAGGAGCCGCTTAAACGTTAATTAAATTTCCCATCGGGGCTTCGATAATTTGGGAGGTGGAGCAAACGTCAGGCTTGACACAGGTACTGGGTGCGTTTGCTGGAGCAAAGCACGGCTCACCCCTCTTTTTCTGCCTCGTAGCAAGTCAGTGCTTTTAGGAAACCAACAAAAATGAAACCCAAAACAATTTTTAAAAACCCTCAGAAACAAACAAACAACAGCAAAAACAAAACAAAACCAAAAACCCAAACCAACCAACAGCAGCAACTTTGCACGTTCGCAACATTGCGCCAGGACTTTTAATACTGGTCGAGTGCATTTAAATAAGTGCGCATCTGTAGCATGTTAAACATTAGCCGGGCCCTTTCTACTAAGGAAAGCCCGGTCTAATTAGCTCCAGAAGCGGCAGCTCCTCGCAGGAAGAGGGTTTCCCTTTCTCAGAATGCCAAAAAAAAGCGGGGGGGGGGGGGCAAGGACAAATGAAAGGGCTGCTCAGCCCGTGGGAGAGTCTGCACCGGACTTCAGCCAGGGCTCCTGGCTCACTTGGGAGAGTGAAAGGAAAAGGGGAGCTCCCTTCTCAAATCCTGCTTGTGTAACACATTCCTGTAGGAGCACGATTGGGCCTGAAAAATACATTTCGCAAGTGGTCTGGCATTAAAAAAAGAAAGAAATTAAATTAAACTAAAAATGGCATATACAGCACAACAATTTTCCTAAAACCTATCGGTTTAAATAAAATCCCCTATTTCCCACTAAACTAATCTGTGTTAACTTTGTATCGGTGGAATGGCGAAGGGGACAGAATCACGAAAAATCCGTCTCCTTAAACGAAAGTCCGAGAAAAGCTGAAATCTAAACACTTCCACAACTTTGCTGCTGGAGCAAACCAACTATTTCCAACGCAGAAGTGATGCCTTTTGATACGAGAATAAGGCTTCAGCTGCCAGGACAAGCTGCTCAGCGGAAAGTTCGGTGCGGTTTTGCTCCGGCTACTTTCAGCGGGGAGGGGGGCAAAATTACAGAGTTGTTTGTACCTAGAAGGAGAAACCAAGCCGATGAGTCACTGCCAGCTCCTGCCTGACCGGGAGAGGGAAGAGACACGAAAATCATTTTCCAGTGTTTTGGGTGCTTTTTTTTTTTTTTTTTTTCCTCCAAATTTCCGGTGATTCTGGCTCTTTTGCAGCCACTCTCCGGTCCCCTCGGGTAGGTTTACTGCAGAGAGCACCAAGCCCATCCCAATCTTCAGCCTAATTTATGGGGGTCACTCTGATTAATTTCGAAAGCCCTAATAAGAGAGGCATCGGCTGGCTGCGTCGCCCTGGGTAGGGGCTGCTCTGTATAATTTCGTTAGCCCCTGCACAGACGCTGGGTAATTGTCAGAGTCCGCTGTGACAAGGGCAGAAAACGAGGTAGGCGTATCCGAGGCCTCTCTCCCCTTTTGTTAGATCAAGGCAGAGGTCAATATGGTTTTAACGCAAATTTATTAGCAGAGAAATCAGCAAACCATTCCCTAATTAGCAAAGCCCAATAAATGTGCCCGCAGGCTCTTTCTTTTTCGCTAGCAAACCCGCAGCAAAGACCCAGCCCGCCACAGCCCTCCGAGGAGGTGATGATACCGGCCCTTATGAATGTTTTATGGGTAATTGCTGGATACCTTTCAAATTTCAAGGCAGAGCCCCGGCGCCGCGGCTGGGGCTGAGCTGATGGAGGGCGGCAGGCGGAAAGCTGGAAATCACAACCTGTGACTGTCTCTCGCCCAGCGTTAC